TGTAAAAGGCTTAAAATGGCCTCCGGTCGACGTTACGGTAACGTGTAACCAACGCTGAAAAGCTTTTGACTCTTTCTCAATCCATAGAAAAGTTGCAGCACTTTGAAATGAGTTTTGATAAAAAAAATCAACGCAAAAAAGTGTTTTTGGCAATTTTGAGATGTACCCTGGTTACCATGTTAACAGGAGATTCAAGATTGAGTATGCCGTTCCAAAGGCTATGGTCTAGTCATGGTCTAGTCAACATTTGCGCAAAGATTGAACAGTATTAAAGCCTGTTTTATTGTTTCATGTAACAGGAGGCTGTTCAATGAAAACGGCTATTTTTCACAAAATGCTCATGAAGTAATGATTTAAAGTAAAAATGATCAATTCATATTTATTGACGTTAGCTTATAACGTTGGTTGGTTGTTGTAACGTACCTAGCATATAGTATATTATATAGTATATTAACTGTACACACTCAGTTAATCCGACTGACCCGGGCTTGAATTACACGGTATTTTCGGTAGATCTTGCTCTTCATTTTGCTCTACGAAACTTGTGAATAAAATTGCAGCGTGATTATTATATGTATTTACCCTATATTGAATCTAATTTTCCCAAAAGTTATATTTAAATTCAAAATGTTTATTGACAAATGCATAAATTATAAACCACGTGTTTGTTTTTTTTTTTTTTGTTTTTTTTTTTTTTTTTTTTTTTTTTTTTTTTGCAAAGAATATGTTCTTATTAACAAATGAGAGGTTTGTGACAAATTCTAAGATTTGAAATATTAACAATTGCAATTACCTTAACACAATAGGGCTAAGAATCGAACACACAAATAAAAAGGTTTTCAATTGATTTCTGAGTATATACTCGTATCTTTTTAATCTTTTGCATGACTTTCTGTTTAAACGGCCCAAGCTGATCTGTGTAAACAATTCAAATCGTATGTTTTATGGTTTTTGGGGCTCAGTTGGTGAAGTATCTTTACAATATATTGAGACAAAAACACATAATGTTATTTATCTATGGATGTAGGCAATAATGTATTTAACCTAGTAATATAAACATTGTATGGAATCGGATATCGAAAATAAATTGCTACATATAATTTAAGACACAGTGTCACTAGCTCTTTGTTGTGTTTACAGCTGAGATATAAGCATAGTACAATAATAAGAAAAATGGAATAAAGATGCTTTAAGTTAACAATAACAAAAATATATTATGATGAACTTTTAACAATATTCGAAATTAAAAATCCAAACATTTTTTCTCGATGTAAATTACCCCCAATAATTTAATTACTTATATCGCAATGAACAAATATAAAAGTATGCAATGTAATGAGAATAAAGATCTGAACATCCGAACAAGTAGTTCGAATTTGGTCATAAATGCCTTACGACTGCGATTTCCGTTCATAATTCATCTATTGAATTTGATTTCACACATTCAGATAGTTGCTGTGCTGATTTACTATAAACATGTTATTATTGACACTATGCCAAAGTATAGAGAAATAGAATGTCAAAAAGCAGGCTTGGTTTGATTAGGCATTTTCGTGGACAGTACTGGAAAATGCAAGCCACTGTCCACGCCACCTTGTACGGGCTTAATAAAACATGTAGTGGTAAAATAGTGAATTTAGAAACATCAACAAATATGTTCATACGGCGGTGATCATGGAACTTTCAATGTGCCACATTTAGTGTTATATCATGAAAATCGGCGTACGGTCCCTAAGTAAAAGAACTGTGTGCCCTAAACGAAACAATTATGGGGGAATTTAACAAAATGCAATTTTGAAAGGGAATCAGAGGTTATGAAGCCTGCATATCACAGATAAGCTGTCAAAATATCAATGTTAAAAGCACACATTAATTTTAAGGCCACATATCTTATGGGTGATACTACAGTATTCAAGTAAGGAATACTGGAACCACCCAAGTAGAAAAAAGCCAAATAGGAAAGATCTAAAATGCCGCCAACACAACAATAATGTGGTGTTGCACGATCTTTAAGGATCAGAAATATAACATCCGTAATTGAATGTACGTGGCGACTTTTACGGCCCCCACACGGTACCAACAACATGTTTGAGATTCAATGCTGTATTGAAATTTCACACACGCATAGATTATTATATAATAAAAGAAAAATAACAACACACACTAGTACACTGTTCCATTTCCTTTCCCCTCCTTTTAGATTAACAAGTCTAGTGTTTTGTATAAAATGCTGTAAAGTATGCATCCAAATAAGCTAAAAAGCAACTGTTGCTTTTATAAAATATATATACTACACACTTTTTAATATAATTATCAAAAATTATAAATAGAGTAAAAAAGAGTAATAAATAAATTGTATCATAGTTTGGAGACCTTTCAATTGAAAAAAACGTCAGAGTTAATCGTTTACCCATACTTGCACAGTCGGTTACCTGGAGTGCCTCACTGTCTGTATGGAATAAGAATAGAGCATGCTTGTTGATTGGATCTTTTTTTTTTTCGTGGGTTTACTTATTGTGACGACATGGAAAAGCAGATAGCCTCGTGCTCTTCCTTTTACAATGTATTTATACATGCATAGTGTATACATGTCAAGTTGTCATTTCATTTCAACGTCTTTTTCTTATTGACATGAAAGTCTATAAAATTAGACTGAAAGGTGTGAATCTACTGGCCCGTGCATTCACGTGAAAATCGCTTCAGCGGGTTTCTCCTGCAAAACGAGTTTAAATCTGTTGTATCAGACACATAATCGTTAACCTGAATGTATGTTGCTCATTTGACATTTTGACTTTAGACACTATATCAACGCTTAAACACATGGGGAAGTTTCTTTTTTTTGTTCAGTATATAATAATATAATATGAGAATACGTTAACAACATGGACATAGTAAAGCCGTGGAGATGATCCTGTCCAACTGGTTACGAGCATACACGTATTGTTATAACATTTTTGCACTTACTTTGATTGACAGTAATCAAGCGTTTAACCCGCGTGTATAATGTTGATACCGACAGAAGAAATTTTTTTCGCAGGACTTGATTTATTTTGGTCCCCTTGTTTAACAAAATGAATTTGTATGGACGAACAATGTTTAATTGCTTATTTATTTACATTGTCTTGTAATTTTTGTGTGTTATGTGTTTGATTAACCATTTGAAGTATTGTTGTACAAAGATGTGTTATTTTGTCTTGACCGCATTCTATAAATTTTTGCATGTAAATGGTCAAAGACGTATTTATGCCGATTGCTAAATAAAGATTGATTGATTGATTGATTGCGACAAAATAAAAAAAGTCAGAGGATAGTACATTCAATCAAAATGAAAATCATCCTCCATTACATTTCTTTCATGTTTCTTACTATTCGCATTTTGAAAAAAGGGTTTGTTTTGATTAGTTTTTTTTTTTTGTTTTTTTTTTTACAATATTGTTATTTATATCAAAATTATTTTGTGTAAGGGGGTCATTCTTTTTACAAACACCATAGTTTTTTATTAAGATATGTAATCAAATTCAAATCTAACATAGACAACAGCTTTAGTTTGCTGTTGCTAAAATGTATGTGCGCATTGTTGTTTTATTTGCACTAAGCAAATATAATTTAATATGTTTATTAAAAGTTCTTAGACTATCATCCTACGGGAATACTTAGAATTACAAAAAGCCCCTTAAAATAAATAATAATTATAGTGTCTTATTTAAAATTAGGTAAAATCTGAGTTGTTTGATTAGTATATATACTTAAAGCATTGATTACAGCTATGTTTGGAAGTTTGTGACTTTTTCAAACGTACACATGTGGGAACTTCTGTACTAAGTGGAATCGTGTGCTGTTTCATTCGACGAAAATGCGGTTTCTAATATGTGTATTTGTAAATTGAAAAAAAATGTATATTGCACATTGATGTCGGTAAATTATTAATGTAATTCAATCATACAATTAATTTTTATTTAGCTGATGACATTTATGACCGTTGTTAATTGAGTGGACAATACAATTGAATTAACTCTTGAAAATAACCTTTACTCTGCACTTATCTAGCAAAAGTTATGATAAAATCTTGTCTTAAATGATTATTAAATCATGAACTAATATTTTGTTCCGAACAATTTATTATGTTTACGCACATTTGTGTTTATTTACAAAAACATTTTAGGTTACAACTTCAAGAATCAATAATCTTTTAGCTTATGGGTGCAACATAATCCTTAATTTTATAAACAACAAAAAGAAAAAAAAAACAAAAAAAAACATTTCATTACTTACAGCTTTATTCCCTCTAAATACTACGTATACCACGCATATATGCTACTAAATTTACGATATTTTTTCTTGACATAATATAATTGATGATTTTATTTCATTCGTTATTTTTTACGACTGATAGACTTAGTTATATTATCGCTTATTATATTTATATACGTCTACAAACTGCAATATTAATATAAAATTCAATTTTATTTAAAGCGCTCTACCAGTCACTTTCGTTATGTTTACTGTGAGCAAAAGGAAGATCTCTGGACTTGTATATAGATATTATGCAAATAAATGGAGATTAAATCATCACAATTGATATTTTTAAACATAATAAACGTCTACAAACATCTGTGTAGTTTTTGTGTGCTAATTGATGACTTAAAAAGTTGTTTTTGTATATTCTCTAGGACCTCATTTATTGGCGGAAGGATTTAAAAAGATGAACTACCCACCAGCAGTCGAGGTGAATTTAAACAGTGCTACAACAGAATACAGATTTCTGGAAAAAAGTAGATTGGTAACATATTATATATCGGGCGTCATTTGACTTATATAATGTTGAAGACTGTATACAATTAATCAAAAACAGTGAAATTCAGAATTAAGCCTCAAATGTGATTGATTAACTAAAGAACAAAGAGTACGAAAAATCACTGGGACTAGACCAAGAATCTATCACGATTCCGGATCCCGTGCGTTCCGGATTTCGGATCCCGGCATTTTCCCCAACCTTCAAAATGTAGAAGTCACGTGACTGCTAACAAAATGGCGAATAAAGAAATTTTCTGTCAACAATTGACACATTTTGATAAATTTCGTCATAATTGTGTTTTCTCAGGAACACTAGCATGCCCGATTGTCATCAAATTTTGTGATGCCTCAGCAAAAGGAAAAAGCTTTTCTGAAGCCACCGTGGACATTTCAGCCAACGAAGGTTTTCCATTATTTTGCTGTCAGCTTGCTGGTATAGGAAAATTGCTTTCTTACCTTGAAGGAAATCTCGAAAAAAGTGCCGAAATTAAAAGATTAGAGAAATTCTTCGCAGACAGTAAGTACATGCTAAACGCTTCACTAAGTAAGTGAAAACAGTTAAATATTCCTTTTATTACGAAATATATATGAAGTGGCTAGCCAAACGGGCCTGTTAAAGGGCTAGCCAAAAGTTCTACGCCAGTCACGTACAGCTTGCCAGGACACAATGTATTTGCTATTCATATTGCACTTGTTATTTTGTGACTTTAAGCAAGGATTTTAAACAAGTTGGCAAGTAACATACAGCTAGCTAGAGACCCAGCAGGCACATCAACGTTGTTTAAACGTTGAATTATGGTCAGATTTCAACGTTGAAATAAGGTTGGATTTATATTCGGATTTGAAAGTTGAAACAACGTTGAAATTTCAACGTTGATACAACGTTGCAGCTTCAACGTTGGCACAACGTTGAAGGTTCAATGTCATTTCAACGTTGAAAACCCACCATACTTTAATTTTTGGATATAAAGCAAAGTAACCAAGTTTAACAAAATATCATGACAATATTAAATACTTCTTATATTTTTTATTTCAAAAATACAGTGCAAGTGCAGCTTAAATTCACTTTAATAGTTTTAACAATTAAGCTACAATCTGTTCCAATCTTTTCTTCTAGATCTTTCTGGGTATGTCAAGTGTTTGAGTACTTCTTTGGCTGTCTCTTACTGCTTCTGCAAATAAAAATAAGAAGTTTGTAGTTAAAAGTGACTTGGTCAATCTCAAATTATACATATAATTACTTAACTTAGTGATTTGTTTTTATCTTAAAATGCTTTTCTCTAAGATTTACATCATAAAACAGCATAGAAATTGAAACATAGCTAAGTTTGATATTGACAGCAAATAATGTATATAAGACAACAAAATCTTTTTTAAAAGAAGCTATTTAAAAGTATCACCTATGATTGGTAAGAAAAACTGCTCCCCGTCAGTTCCTTGCAGCATATTCCCAAGAAATTAACATTCTAGGCTCTAGCTAAGACCATTTTATGCAGCATCCTGAAATCAACAAACATATAAATTTTATATTAATAATGTTACAGGAATATTCCGAAAAAAAAATATTTTAAGACAAGATAAAAATCAAGTAGTTGAAAAATTTATACTTTGTTACGTAGTTTGTATTGTAAAGAAATTCAAATATATAAATTAATAAGAATAAATTTCAATTTAACAAACCTGACAGTCCTTTTCATGTTGAATGTATAGTGTACTGGCTACAGCTGCAATACTCTAAATTTCAGCCAGGACCAGAATCTAGAATATAAAATAATATATAATAAAATAGAAATAGATTTATTATTCCCCTTAAATTTACGACTATTAAACTTCAAAGTTTAACACTCAAATTTGTAATTTAACTTAATAATAATCATTATAATGTGTTTTTATCAAACTAATTAACACTGTATTATACTATCAATAAAATATAAACATAGTTATATATATTGACGAATCGTCTTGGGACGTAAATTAAGTGGGCCGAACTACTTTATTGGTTTCAATTTTAAAATTGATTAAATTCTAAATAGGATATAGTACAGACAAATGTTTAATAATATGAAAAATAAATTAAAGAAAGACAAGATTTGTACAATCATAAATTGCCAAGGACATCAATAACTTCATGCTTACAAGGCCTACCGAACCCAAATCATTCATTTAGGTCGCGAAAACGTGTCAAATCAACTCAATCATGTGTTTATATCTCTCATTTATTTCATAAAGTAAATAAAAGTAGAATTTAAAGAATAAATAATAATATTTTAGAAAATAATCAGTAAACTAAAGTAAAATATAACGGTAATACCTTCGAAATCCAAATAAATTGCCAATCGTGTTGTTTTCAAACTTTCCAAACAGCGCCACCATTTGCACGAACGATAATCATAGACAACAAACAAAATCTTAGACCGCAACAATTACTTCCCCTGACCAGCGTTATTTTATAAACGGGGTTTTGACTAATACCAATTTATTAATTAATATTATTCATAAAGAACTAAAATATAAAACAACAAACAATATTAACTAATATTTAAAGCGTTAATAGAAAGTGAAAAATTATTTCCAACTTTATTTGTTTAAGCGCTATTTTTGAATATACGGAAAAAGATTGTAACGCAAATTTTCCTGACAAAAATCACTTACAGACTAATTCAATAAAGGAATAATATCACAAAATTAGTGGTATAAAAGTTTATATAATGATTAAACTAAATGTAAAACTTCGACCATAAACAACGTTGAATCAACGTTGTATATACATTGGCAATATATCCGTATGGTCGTCCATAGTTGAATATTGGTTGAACAACGTCACGACCATATTTCAACGTTGTTTCAACGTTGAAACAACGTCGAGTGCCTGCTGGGGAGACTTCAGCGAACAGGTTTTATAGCACTGTTAGACCTTTTTGCAGAAGCCAATCCCGTATCGAAAGTCAACCAGAACCGTGACATATTTATGTCATGCTGTAATTCAATAAATCTGCGTGATCTGGACAAAAGCTTTTTTAATACAGGTAGTTAGATATATTTGGGACACTTCAGTCTATATTTTTGAACACAGATGTGACAGAACGTTAGATTGATGAAATAATGCCTCAAAGTTTATCAGTGGGTTCACATTTCATAAAATTCGCTGCCATTGCTGTCCTTATTATCATGTGACTAGCGAGACTTTAGGTTCAGATACCTTTGGATGACATTTGGTGACCCGTGACACAAATGCTATTTTTAATTGAAAACATGGCTTTGCAATTATGAATAACGGTGAATGTAACAGACATTGTACCAAAAATATGTTGGATTTATATTGTTTTGAGTGATGTTTCATTAATTATTTGTTTGTTTTTATTTAAAATTGTACACTTTCTAAAAATAGTGTGTGGTCCGTTACTAAAAATAGATGCTAGAATTCCTAAAACCTGAAGTCCCGCGAGATTTCATTTGAAGCAGACTCCATATTGATTAACATTCTCTACATATTTCCTTAACAAATAGTTGGGTACACAATGTCATTGAAGTTTCATTTAAAAACAAAACATGAATTGATAAAAATTGATTTGTTTATCAAATGGTATTTTTATTTGACCCAATTTTAATTAATAAGGGTGATTTTAATAGGTTATTATGTACGGCACAAACTGCCAAAATTCTGGTAGCCTTTGCAAATAGGGGTGACCTATAACTTTAATGTGGCACAACGTGAAAATAAAAGCAACACATAAAGTTATTGAAGCCCGAACTTGAATGTACAGCAATAATATTGTTTTCGTATGTTTAGTTTTTAGAAACAAATTGCGATGTTGGTCAAAGAAAGTTATGATGAATATGTTGTAATCTCCAGTTTATGACGAGAATATGAGAATCTTACACTGGCTGCCGGTACAGACCGGAATATCTAGCACGAGGATAACTGTTTACAGTGATAACGAGGCTCAGCCGAGTTTCCGCTAAACAGTTTCCCGAGAGTTAGATATTCCCGTCTATATTGATTCTTTTTCTTGCATATATTGCATGTCAATTATTTTCAGAACAGAAGTTTAAAAAACTGATATTCTCATTACACACTTTTTCTTATAGTAAAAGTATGAACATACATCCTTATTCATAACGGAAAAATGACGTCATCCTGAGAACGCGATCCATTCATAAAAGGCCACGTCAATGATGTCATTTAAAGGACACAACTTATCTTACATGGGGGGGTATAAGACAGAGTTTTCTAGCACCAGTGTAAACAGTAGATAATCCTGTCTGATATGCAAGGAAAAAAGAGATTTACTTGCAGTTGAATAATAATATCAATTGAAATAATTTACCAAATTAATATGAAAATAGGAGAGTCTATGAAAAGGGAAGTCAGATAAAAAAAAATCGTTCATTTTTAGCTCACCTGTCACAAAGTGACAGGGTGAGCTTTTGTGATCGCTTTTTGTCCGTCGTCCGTCCGTCCGTCGCCGGTCGTCCGTAAACTTTTACTTTAAATGACATCTCCTCATAAACCACTAAGCCAATTTCATCCAATCTTCACAGGAATGATCCTTTGGTGGTCACCTTTGAAAATTGTTCAAAGAATTTAATTCCATGCAGAACTCTGGTTGCCAAGGCAACCAAAAGAAAAAACTTTAAATATCTTCTTCTAAAAACCCCAAAGAGCTAGAGCTTAGATATTTGGCATGAAACATCTTCTAGTGAGTGTCTACCAAGTTTGTTCAAATAAAAGCCCTTGGGTCAAAATTGGCCCTGCCCCAGGGGATCATTGATTTTCGCTATTTGCATATAGTAAAAACTTAAAAAATCTTCTTTTAAAGAACCCAAAGAGCTAGAGCTAAGATATTTAGCATGAAACATGTTCTAATGGGTGTCTACCAAGTTTGTTCAAATAAATGCCCTGGGGTCAAAATTGGCCCTGCCCCAGGGGGTCATTGATTTTCCCTATATGCATATAGTAAAACTTAAAAACTCTTCTTTTAAAGAACCCAAAGAGCTAGAGCTAAGTAAGATATTTAGCATGAAACATGTTCTAATGGATGTCTACCAAGTTTGTTCAAATAAGAGCCCTGGGGTCAAAATTAGCCCCGCCCAAGGGGTCATTGATTTTCCTTATATGTGTATAGCAAAAACTTAAAAAATCTTTTTGGAAAAAAACCAAATAGCTAGAGTTTAGGTACTAAGCATGAAACATCTTATAGTGAGTGTCTACCAAGTTTGTGCAAAAAAAAAAGCCCTGGGGTCATTCATATTCCTTTTATATGTATAACAAAAACTTAAAAAATCTTCTTTGAAAAAACTCAAATAGCTACGGTTTAGATATTAAGCACGAAGCATCTTCTAGTGAGTGTCTACAAAGTTTGTTCAAATAAAAGCCCTGGGGTCAAAATTGGCCGGCCCCGGGGTACATTCATTTCCTTATATGTGTATAGCAAAAACTTAAAAATCTTCTTTGAAAAAAAACCGAATAGCTAGAGTTTAGATATTAAGCATGAGACAATTTATATTAAGTGTCTACAAAGATTGCTCAAATAAAAGCCCTGGGGTCAAAACTGGCCCTGCCCCAGGTGTGTCATTGTTTTTAACTATATGTGTAAAGAAAAAACTTTAAAAAAATCTTCTTTTAAAAAACCCAAAGAGCTAGACCTTAGATGTTTAGCATGAAACATTTTCTAATGGGTGTCTACCAAGTTTGTTCAAATAAAAGCTCTGGGGTTTAAACTGGCCCCGCTCCGGGGGCCTATATACAGGTGAGCGACTTCAGGGCCATCATGGCCCTCTTGTTTAGTTAACATTTTCTGTTTTAAAAGTGGCATTCAGTATTTTATAGACTGCTTCTGTTTAGGCTGGTTCCCAGCACACTTCATTTTCGCTAGAACCATATTAGAACTGGGAACCAGAGAACGTTTTTAGAAGTGAGCATTTAGGGACCAGAATACGTTTCTGTTTAAATCAGAATGCCTCGGCTATTATTGTTAACTTGTGATTCAAGTTGATTGGTCCATGATTGGTATACTTGCCGTTTATTATTGCATTACAGTGCCAAACATTAAATGATACTGAAAAAAATCACTAACAATATATTTCTATTTATTTCTTAATTTAATTTCCTTGTCAATATACACATGTAGTCTATAGCCTGGCAAGCCTAAAACTTTTAGCTATTCGTACAGACCTATACAGCTAGCCACTTCCAAATATATACATATAACATACAAACATTTTCACAAAGAATAATAATATTATTTGAATCTTACATCGGCTACCGATACAGACCGGAATATCAAATGCTCGATGGTGACTGTTTACGGCGGTAACGAGGCTCTGCCGAGTTTCCGCTAAAAAGTTACACGAGAGCACAATATTCGGGTCTGCACCAACAGCCGGTGTTTGATTCTTTTTCTTGCATATTACATATCAATTATTTTCAGGACAGAAACTGCGAATATATATGCACTTATATATGCACTTTTTTCTTATAGTAGCGTATGAACCTACAACTTCATTCATAACGGTTAAGTGACGTCATCCTAAAAACGCAATTCATTTATAAAATGCGCGCGGCAATGACGTCATTTAAAGCACGCTACTTGTCTTACATGGGGGGGGGGTGAAAGTCAGAGTTTTCTTGCACCGGTGTAAACGGTAGATAATTCTGTCTGATATGCAAGAAATATTTGTATGCCCCTGCCATAAAATGGCCTGGGCATATAGTGTTCTGTTATTTCGTCATCATCAGTTTCTGTTCATTATCTTGGTAACAGTTGCACAAATTTGACATATGGATATATCACGGGAAAATACAGGCCAAGTTCGAATTTGGTCATGGTCCGATAATTTCAGTTTCCGTTCATCATCTCCCCAACGATAGAACACATTCAACTCAAATTTGATGTATGAATTTGTCAAAGGACATTGCACCATTATTAGCAACAAATAATGTTAGAAATGTAGCCAAACATAGAACATAATTATACTGTATTGAATTTAATCAACATTATATATAATACTGAAAATCATTTGCTTTCGTCATTAACTGAAGCCCGTCTCACACAGAACACGATTTGGCACACGGTTCACATACGATATACTCGGTTATAAAAGGGTCGACTGGTGCGAGTATTGAGCTCCAGCTGTGCCTGGGAATTAGTTGGTATGACTTAGACTAGAATATAGCACGAGTATGTTCCATTAAAGCACGGATATAATCGGTCAAGAATTTGCATACAAACACATTTTATTGTTGTACGGTTCCAAGTCGGACTAGTACCGTCTGGTATGATTAAACACGACTTTTACTCGGTTTACTCGACTTTATACCCATACTATACTGTATCTGCCATGTATGATTTGTACTTGAACCGTATTTGTACCATGATTGTGTGACATTCGGGTGTTAATCAGGTGATGTATATAGGACTTGGGGACAGTCAGGAACGATTTATAAATCTTGACACTGTGAGTTGGACTTACTCATGGAGCGGACTTCAGATACAGATGTATATACTGTCTGACACTTGGTCTCTTACAGTCGCTAATACCAAGGATCATACACAGACATGGCATCCATGCCAGTGTTTTTTTGAAAGTTTTAAAGATCATAGTTACAATGCCAGATTTTTCTCTTATTCAACAAATTCTTTGTGATTTTGGTGATTTTTATATGAGCAATTTTGTTAATCACCCCCTAGAATGACCTTGGATGGTGCAGTAGCAGTACCAGTACAATTACTTGATTTTGGACAATTAATGCAGTACATCACCATTACTTGGACCAAGTAATGCAGTATCATTACCATTACTTTTGAGCATAAGATAATTTTTTTTGCTAAGCTAATAATGTACATTTGTAAACATATATTATTAAATTTCTTAATATATGAGACAATTTCAAAGAGGTCTCAGTTAGGCATATAAATTTTTTGCTTATCTGCCTTCTATACAAATGACTCAAGATATTCATCTGTTTTTTACCTTTAAATAAAAATACAACCAAACTTATGAAAGGTGTAAACATTCTATTTGATCCATTAATCATACTAAATATGTTAACTTAATATATATTTTTTCTCACCAAATTGTAACTATATATTACTATTATCCTAAGAATGTAATATTATGTATTTGTATATGTTTATGTATGTATACTGATGATGTTTCCCGCTATTGTGGGACTTGTGCATTTTGTAAATAAATTGAATTGAAATTGAGTTTACATAAAATTGTATTTTAAGTTTTTACTTAAAATTATATTTTAAGTCAGTAATAGTGACTGCATTTCATGATAATAAGTCTGGCACAATCATGGCAGCTTGACATAATGTAACAATGAACACTCCAAAAAGGTGCTAATGTGCCCAATGGTCAAACAAAGACAAGTGTCAAATAGTAATTTTATCTTGTATAAAGGGTTATGGTTGGTAGGAGGGCTTTTTATAAAGGTGTGTAAAATGGTCTACCCAACTCATTTCATAAATTATACAATGTAACAATATATTTTCAGCAATGACAATCATCTCAAAAACTGACACTGTATATATGATATTGACCTTGAGCTATATCATCTATTATAATGAGATTGTAACGGTTTTGGGTTAGTGTTCACTCAATTTATTCAGTTTTATAATAATTGATATTTAACTGTAAAATTTGTGAACTCAAACTCATCATTTAATCCCCATTTAACACTGAACAATGGACCTTCATCCGGTGTTTACAGTTTTATGTAAATTAAGGCTAACTTGTTATCCAATCGCTACACTGAGATAATAGATAGTCACTGGTTGACCTGGTTTGCACAAAAGAACACATGCTTATGTTTGTGATACTGTTTGTGAGCAGTTGACCTAGCAATGAATCATAAAGGTGTGGCTAAATGTTAAATGTTCCGTTACGAAAAACCGGAAAGGTCCATGTACATGCCTGAGAGTACAAATTATTAATGCTTCAATTCACACTAATGTTATAAATCAGAAGAGACATATAAAATAGAGGGGACATTGAATTTTCATGATTTTAGATTTTATTTGACTGATTAAGGCCATCACAATTTTATATTGTGTTCTTTGGATCATCCAATAAATATACCTGATTTATGATGTTGTAAGTTTGGTGAAGTAATTCAAAGTAATGCATAGTAATGCATCTTCATTACCTGAATTTTGCAATCCAGTACCATTACAAGTAATGCAAATTAGCATCCAGTATCATTTCATTGCATTACTCTCAAGAAAAGTAATGCATTCCTACTGCATTACCATTACCAGTGTCATTACCTCAAGCCTGCCCTTGTTGCATAAATTTTACATATAATTTGAGAGCCTTCAATTAAAATGGTTCATATGTACAAATTAAGTTATCAGTTACTTGTTTCACTAGGATAATGACTTCAGAAACATCAGGCATGTGATGATATGTAAAATATATGTGATGTTATTGTTATACAGTGGTATAGAAAACTCTTTAAAGTTAAATTTCTATCTAATCTATTTCTAACTTTTGTCCCAACAACTGGTACTTCTGTAAATAGTAATAATATAATTCAGTTATTCTGTATAATAAAAGCTTTAGCAGCAGATAATGGTATCATTTAAAAAGACCAATGGGGTATAAATGATGCAGTTTGTTCTTGCATGACTGTGCACTTTTTTTGATAAGAATTAGAAGAAAAATTGATTTGACTTCAATATATTAGCAAGTCTTATGTTTCATGGATATTATCATATACTTAAAGTAGATCTGATATTGTTACAAAAAGACAATATTTTTTCCATTTTTATGATATCACTGTGATTTGTTTAATATACTTTTGCCTATGTTGCCCTTACATCATTATTAAAAAAGTAGGTGTAAATAAATAATATACTTTGTTCAAACTTTCAGAGTTTATATGAGTTAGACTAAAATAATGTCAAAACTGATATATAAAACCATTTTTGGAAAAAAATGTTGTTACACCCTTATTGCATTAAGCCCTTGATTTTAAGTGATTATATAATTGGTTAAAAGTTAAATTTTCTCTTTCCTTTCAAAATTCACAGAAATATATGTATAATTTATATGTTGTATGTTTTGTTGTACAATGTTTTTTCGACATAACAAGTCTTACACTAAGAATTATTGTTTTAATTTCAGAACAACACACAGAGTGTCTTCTTTCATTGGATAAAAGCAATGAATATAATGAATATAATATTCAAGTCATTCTTGCTGCTCATCTGTTTGGACCGTTGGCTGGTAGTTTTGAGATTGGAAGCAAAGGCTTCTCAAAAGATGCAAAAAAATGCCCTAAGTGTGGAATTGATATTAGTGAAAATCTAAAGAATACATCACTTGGTGAGTAACTTGTAATGTACTTTTTTGATGCATTTTATTGTTAAAGTGGATTGTAGAATGATATTTTTGGATGAAAGTTTTACCATGCCTATCTGCAGATCTCACTTGGGGATTTATCCTTCATGATGATTACTTAAGTAAGAAATGAGGTACTGTATCAATCATTTCATATATCAATCTTATGTGCAGACCTCAAATGAGATTTCTGTTGGGCAACCTAGGTTAAAGGTCAAGGTTTCTTTTACTCACAATAGAAATTGATATATATGTTTGGGTATTTAAAGATTTATCACTGCACCACTTATTCCCCACATACTGAGGTGGCATGTAAGTAGTATTAATCACCTTCATTGATAGCCTTTTTTACTCTGGTCTTCACTGAAGTTTATACACCCTCAAAAGGCCTTTGGGTTGTATATTGTATGTTATGGTGTTGTCCTTCCTTCAGTCTGTCACTGCTTACATTTGGATAATAGAGCTGTCATCAAGAGATGCAATATTGATGTACCATTGATTATGGTTTGTTGTATTGGAACTTCAGAAAACATCTAATTTCTTTGTGTTAAAAATGAAATAATTATATTATAAACAAAATAATCCAATTTTGAAAATTATTTTGTAAAATAAAAGTCTAATAGATTTAAATAAATTATCATTTTAAAGTTGTCTTTTGATCTGAGGGTTATCATTCACAAATGTCTACTTTTTAGTCTGTGCCCATATCTTAGCAACAAGTAAAAACGTCTGAAAACATTAAAATTGAGGATTAAAAGAAGTCCTGTTTGGGAACATTGTTGAAGAAAAGTGGGTTGTAAATTCCAAAGTAGTAGTGTGTAAGATTTGCCGTATCATCATTCTATTTAGTGGCAATACAACTAACTTGATATCACATATTGATCACGGGGAAACATCATTCTATCTACTACACCAATGCAAGCTCCGATTGTAAAGTGATCCAAACTTCACAGAATTGTTACCTTTAAAAAACCCAAAGAGCTGGAGCTTAGATATTTAGCATGAAACATTTTCTAGTGAGTGTCTTCCAAGTTTGTTCAAATAAAAGCCCTAGGGTTAAAATTGGCCCTGCCCCAGGGGGTAATTGATTTTCTTTATATGTATATACTAAAAACTACATATGCACTTTTTCAGATACAAATATGAACTCTGTGATGTCAGTTTTAGATTTAGATTTTATATCTGCTATGTTTATAGTTACAATATTACTTGTTTCTTGTCATGGAGAGTTTCTATTATACAGGTGAACGATTTCAGGACCATCATGGCCCTCTTGTTCTGTAACTGGCTATAAATTTCTAAATGGATTAACTTCATATTAAGACACAACATCTTTTAGTCAGGACCTTCATGTATATCAAACTCAAATTAACCTTGACTCATGTACGACCTTGACAAAGGATTATTTTCATACTTGCAAAAACAACCTTTTGGACAAGACATTCTAAAAGGTTGATTTGACCTTGAGCTTTAAATGACATTGACAGTCAAGGTCAAAGTATTGAATTTTGGTTAAGCTATAATTTTGTTATTTGAAAAATTTTGATATGTAGACAAAACAACACTTGTGACCAAACAGACATGTGAAATAATTAAGAAATGACTTTGATTGTGAAATGATTGAATTTTGATTATATTTTCTTAACATTGTCATTTATTTATTGAAAGGATTAATGCTTGGACAAAACAATAAATATGACTAGACAGACCTGTTAAACATTTTTAAAAAAAGGAAAAAACTTGACAAGGTTTTCAACAAAAACAAAAAGCGGTTATTAGAATGCTAAAGTCAGTGGGCGGGCGTCAGCTTTTGGTTTCTGCTCAATAAATTGAGTTTGCTTTGGCCTATTGACAACAAACTTGATGTATGGGTAGCTTTTATCAAGAGGATTGTGATTGCTTCCCAGGTGTCTGTGATCAAGATTTAGGTCACTGTTGCTAAAAATAGAAATTCAATTTTCACTCAATAACTTTAGTTTGCTTTGGACTATTGACACAACATTTAGTGCATGGTTAGCTTATATCAAGAGCTTGGGTTTGCTACCCAGATGTCTGTGATCAAGGTCAATGTTGTTAGAAATAGAAATTTCGGGTCAATAACTTGAGTTTGCTTAGGCCTTTTGATGTTAAACTTGGTGTATTGGTAGCTTATACATTGCATCAAGAGACAGCTTGGGATTTGTACCCAGTTGTGTTTGTCACTGTTGCTAAAATTATAAATTAAGTTTCCACTCAATAACTTCAGTTTCCTTTGGCCTATTGACACCAAACTTAGTGTAATGGAAGCTTTTATCAAGATACTACTTGGGATTACTACCCAGATGTCTGTTATGTCAAAGTCACTGTTGCTAAAAATAGATATTCAGTTCCCGCATAGTAACTTGAGTTTGCAAAGACCTATTGACGCCAAATTTATTATGTGGGTAGCTTATATCAAGAAGCAACTTAGGATTGCTACCCAGGTGTTTGTGAACAAGGTCAAGGTCACTGTTGCTTAAAAAAAATTAGTTTTCAAGTTACAACTTGAGTTTGCTTTGACCTTTTGGCACCAAACTTGCTGTGTGGGTAGCTTATATTAAGATGCAGCTTGATGCTCCAGAGTCTACTCTTTTGATCCAAATATCCTGGAAGATGGTCAGAAAGGTTGTTTTGGTGATTTATAGGTCAAGTTCGAATATGGGTCACCTGTGGTCAAAGTCACAGCCCAAATATGAAAAAAAAAATTATTACACATGATGCTTCTGTTTTGATAAAAATATTTTGGAAATTGGCAAGAAAGGTTATTTTGATGATTGATGATTTCTAGATAAAGTTCGAATTTGGGTCACATCGGGTCAAAAACTAGGTCACACAGCCAAAATACCAAAAAAACCTTGTTAACACACTTAGGATTATTGTTTTAGTCCAGATTTCCTGGAAATTTGTCAGAAAGATTGTTATGATTATCTCATGGTTTGAATATGGGTGACTTAGGTCAAAAACTATGTCACACAGCCCAAATATTGAAAAACCTTGTTAACACTCTAATGGATCTATTTCAGTCCAAATACCCCAGAAATTGCTCAGAAAGATTGTTTTGTTGGTCTCAAGGTCATCTTCAAATGTTGGTCACTTGGGGTCAAAAACTAGGTCACACAGCCTTAATATGTAAAAACCTTTATAACACTTTAGTAGCTACTGTTTTGATCATATTATCTTAGAAATTAGTCAGACAGGTAGTTTTGGTGATTTTAAGGTCAAGTTTGAATATGAGTCACTCAGGGTCAAAACTAGGTCAAAGATTGTTTTGTTGATCTCAAGGTCAACTTCAAATGTTGGTCACTTGGGGTCAAAAACTAGGTCACACAGCCTTAATATATAAAAACCTTTTTAACACTTTAGTGGCTACGGTTTTGATCATAATATCCTGGAAATTGGTCAGACAGGTAGTTTTGGTGATTTTAAGGTCAAGTTTAAGGTCAATATGTGTCACTCGGGGTCAAAATTAGGTCACACAGCCCAATTATGGAATAACCTTGTTAACACTCTAGAGGCTACTGTTTTGATCCAAATATCAAAAAGAACGTTTCGATGATTCAAATATTTAGATTTTTAAGTCTAATGCCTAGGTTGCCATTATTATTAACATTTTTAACTTTGATTTATCTGATTTTTTTTTAATTTTGGACTTAATAATTGTGCTTTGTCATCAAATCAGTAGTCTGGTATCTTTATATCTGGAGTTATCTCTTCTTTAGTTTAAGAATTTTGCTTTTAAAAATGTTAAGTTCTGGTTTCAACCAAGGATGTTTAAATATTTACCCCCTGTCTGTCAGTCTGTCTGCCTGCCTGTCCATAAAAACTGAGATCTTTTTTACAGAACTTGGAAATTTTACTACAAATATGATTAAAAAAAGAGAAAAGTTGAGACAAGTCACATTAGTTATAAATACATATTCTTTCTATAAAATTGTATCTTTTATAAACCTAATTTCCCTATTACGCATGGGATCTTAACACATTTATACAGACAAACTAAGATTTAAAAGATAAAAGTTCATTCATGTCTTCCCCAAAGGCATACTGATGATAGTTGAAGGGCCATGGCCCTTGTTGTGGTTCTCATTGGAAGGGGACTTTTGTTTTACTTGCAATACTATGAAAATTACTTGTTTATCATGTCTTTTAAAGTGGCAAATAATATATCTTCAAGGTAATGGAAATGTGTGGCACGGGTATGCTGACATCCTTGTTAAAAGATGTGTAGTCAAGATAGGAACAGAAGACAATAATGAGGATGGAAGTGGTGAACCACCAAAAAAGAAAATGAAAACTGAAGGCAATGAAGATGATGACAGTTCAAGTTCAGATGAAGATGAAGGAAAAAAGGATGCATTTACTTGTAATGCCATGTCACAGATATTGTCACAAACAATTGTTAATGCATTTGCAGAAGTGAACAAGAATTCAGATTTATCCAGTTCCTTTTTACCATCTTTTATTGCGTTATCTAGAGCTATTAAAATAATTATGTATAACTGTGGATTAGATAGTCTGATAATGTCTGTCCGTCTGTCACAAAAGTTGTCCCAACATGAAATTGGCCATTATGAGGCGACACATGTGATTACTGATCGCTCTTGTCTTCCATAGCAACCAGTGTCTTCTATAGGAACCAGCGACCTTTAATTTCAACTATAGACTTCCATTGCAACCAATGATCTCATGCAGCAACTAGTGACACACATAGCAAACATTGACTTTCCATAGCAATCATACATTTTAGCTCACCAGAGCCGAAGGCTCAGGGTGAGCTATTAGTATCAAAGGGGATGCTCCGGCGTCCATCGTCCATCATCATGCGTCAACAATCGTCTTCTTCTCTGAAACTACTAAGCAGACTTACTTCAAATTTGGTCTATAGCATCCTTGTGACAGTCACACTTGAATTTGCTCATGTCATTCCAATTGGCCCCTTTTAGGGGTCAGCAGAGCTAAAAATAGAAAAAACCTTTAAACATCTTCTTCTACAGAACTAATGGATGGATGATCACCAAACTTTGTCAGTAGCAATCTTGGGTTGTCTTTTATCAAGATTGTTCATATTAATTTGATTGGCCCCTTTTAGGGGTCTCTAGGGCTAAAAATAGAAAAACATTTAAACATCTTCTTCTACAGAACTAATGGATGGATGATCACCAAACTTTGTCTGTATGCTTTCTTGGGTAGTCTTTTATCAAGTTTGGTCATATGAATTTGATTGGCCCCTTTTAGGGGCCGCTCAAATGAGATTTCTGTTGGGCAACCTAGGTTAAAGGTCAAGGTTTCTGTTACTAACAATAGAAATTGATATATATGTTTGGGTATTTAAAGATTTATCACTGCACCACTTATTCCCCACATACTGAGGTGGCATGTAAGTAGTATTAATCACCTTCATTGATAGCCTTTTTTACTCTGGTCTTCACTGAAGTTTATACACCCTCAAAAGGCCTTTGGGTTGTATATTGTATGTTATGGTGTTGTCCTTCCTTCAGTCTGTCACTGCTTACATTTGGATAATAGAGCTGTCATCAAGAGATGCAATATTGATGTACCATTGATTATGGTTTGTTATATTGGAACTTCAGAAAACATCTAATTTCTTTGTGTTAAAAATGAAATAATTATATTATAAACAAAATAATCCAATTTTGAAAATTATTTTGTAAAATAAAAGTCTAATAGATTTAAATAAATTATCATTTTAAAGTTGTCTTTTGATCTGAGGGTTATCATTCACAAATGTCTACTTTTTAGTCTGTGCCCATATCTTAGCAACAAGTAAAAACGTCTGAAAACATTAAAATTGAGGATTAAAAGAAGTCCTGTTTGGGAACATTGTTGAAGAAAAGTGGGTTGTAAATTCCAAAGTAGTAGTGTGTAAGATTTGCCGTATCATCATTCTTTTAAGTGGCAATACAACCAACTTTATATCACATCTTGATCACGAGGAAACATCATTCTATCTACTACACCAATGCAAGCTCCGATTGTAAAGTGATAAACTTCACAGGAATGTTACCTTTAAAAAAAACCAAAGAGCTGGAGCTTAGATATTTAGCATGAAACATTTTCTAGTGAGTGTCTTCCAAGTTTGTTCAAATAAAAGCCCTAGGGTTAAAATTGGCCCTGCCCCAGGGGGTAATTGATTTTCTTTATATGTATATACTAAAAACTAATGTTTCTACATATGCACTTTTTCAGATACAAATATGAACTCTGTGATGTCAGTTTTAGATTTAGATTTTATATCTGCTATGTTTATAGTTACAATATTACTTGTTTCTTGTCATGGAGAGTTTCTATTATACAGGTGAGCGATTTCAGGACCATCATGGCCCTCTTGTTCTGTAACTGGCTATAAATTTCTAAATGGATTAACTTCATATTAAGACACAACATCTTATAGTCAGGACCTTCATGTATATCAAACTCAAATTAACCTTGACTCATGTACGACCTTGACAAATTATTTTATTTTCACTGATTATCGTTATAAGTGGCTGTAACTTTGTAATTAATTCAAAGGATTATTTTCATACTTGCAAAAAACAACCTTTTGGACAAGACATTCTAAAAGGTTGATTTGACCTTGAGCTTTAAATGACATTGACAGTCAAGGTCAAAGTATTGAATTTTGGTTAAGCTATAATTTTGTTATTTGACAAATTTTGATATGTAGACAAAACAACACTTGTGACCAAACAGACATGTGAAATTATTAAGAAATGACTTTGATTGTGAAATGATTGAATTTTGATTATATTTTCTTAACATTGTCATTTATTTATTGAAAGGATTAATGCTTGGACAAAACAATAAATATGACTAGACAGACCTGTTAAACATTTTTAAAAAAAGGAAAAAACTTGACAAGGTTTTCAACAAAAACAAAAAGCGGTTATTAGAATGCTAAAGTCAGTGGGCGGGCGTCAGCTTTTGGTTTCTGCTCAATAAATTGAGTTTGCTTTGGCCTATTGACAACAAACTTGATGTATGGGTAGCTTTTATCAAGAGGATTGTGATTGCTTCCCAGGTGTCTGTGATCAAGATTTAGGTCACTGTTGCTAAAAATAGAAATTCAATTTTCACTCAATAACTTTAGTTTGCTTTGGACTATTGACACAACATTTGGTGCATGGTTAGCTTATATCAAGAGCTTGGGTTTGCTACCCAGATGTCTGTGATCAAGGTCAATGTTGTTAAAAATAGAAATTTCGGGTCAATAACTTGAGTTTGCTTAGGCCTTTTGATGTTAACTTGGTGTACTGGTAGCTTATACATTGCATCAAGAGACAGCTTGGGATTTGTACCCAGTTGTGTTTGTCACTGTTGCTAAAATTATAGATTAAGTTTTCACTCAATAACTTCAGTTTCCTTTGGCCTATTGACACCAAACTTAGTGTAATGGAAGCTTTTATCAAGATACTACTTGGGATTACTACCCAGATGTCTGTTATGTCAAAGTCACTGTTGCTAAAAATAGATATTCAGTTCCCGCATAGTAACCTGTGTTTGCAAAGACCTATTGACGCCAAATTTATTATGTGGGTAGCTTATATCAAGAAGCAACTTGGGATTGCTACCCAGGTGTTTGTGAACAAGGTGAAGGTCACTGTTGCTTAAGAAAAACTAGTTTTCAAGTTACAACTTGAGTTTGCTTTGACCTATTGGCACCAAACTTGCTGTGTGGGTAGCTTATATTAAGATGCAGCTTGATGCTCCAGAGTCTACTCTTTTGATCCAAATATCCTGGAAGATGGTCAGAAAGGTTGTTTTGGTGATTTATAGGTCAAGTTCGAATATGGGTCACCTGTGGTCAAAAACTAAGTCACAGCCCAAATATGAAAAAAAAAATTATTACACATGATGCTTCTGTTTTGATAAAAATATTTTGGAAATTGGCAAGAAAGGTTATTTTGATGATTGATGATTTCTAGATAAAGTTCGAATTTGGGTCACATCGGGTCAAAAACAAGGTCACACAGCCCAAATACCAAAAAAAACCTTGTTAACACACTTAGGATTATTGTTTCAGTCCAGATTTCCTGGAAATTTGTCAGAAAGATTGTTATGATTATCTCATGGTCAAGTTTGAATATGGGTGACTTGGGTCAAAAACTATGTCACACAGCCCAAATATTGAAAAACCTTGTTAACACTCTAATGGATCTATTTCAGTCCAAATACCCCAGAAATTGCTCAGAAAGATTGTTTTGTTGGTCTCAAGGTCATCTTCAAATGTTGGTCACTTGGGGTCAAAAACTAGGTCACACAGCCTTAATATGTAAAAACCTTTATAACACTTTAGTAGCTACTGTTTTGATCATATTATCTTAGAAATTAGTCAGACAGGTAGTTTTGGTGATTTTAAGGTCAAGTTTGAATATGAGTCACTCAGGGTCAAAACTAGGTCAAAGATTGTTTTGTTGATCTCAAGGTCAACTTCAAATGTTGGTCACTTGGGGTCAAAAACTAGGTCACACAGCCTTAATATATAAAAACCTTTTAAACACTTTAGTGGCTACGGTTTTGATCATAATATCCTGGAAATTGGTCAGACAGGTAGTTTTGGTGATTTTAAGGTCAAGTTTAAGGTCAATATGTGTCACTCGGGGTCAAAATTAGGTCACACAGCCCAATTATGGAATAACCTTGTTAACACTCTAGAGGCTACTGTTTTGATCCAAATATCAAAAAGAACGTTTCGATGATTCAAATATTTAGATTTTTAAGTCTAATGCCTAGGTTGCCATTATTATTAACATTTTTAACTTTGATTTATCTGATTTTTTTTTAATTTTGGACTTAATAATTGTGCTTTGTCATCAAATCAGTAGTCTGGTATCTTTATATCTGGAGTTATCTCTTCTTTAGTTTAAGAATTTTGCTTTTAAAAATGTTAAGTTCTGGTTTCAACCAAGGATGTTTAAATATTAACCCCCTGTCTGTCAGTCTGTCTGCCTGCCTGTCCATAAAAACTGAGATCTTTTTTACAGAACTTGGAAATTTTACTACAAATATGATTAAAAAAAGAGAAAAGTTGAGACAAGTCACATTAGTTATAAATACATATTCTTTCTATAAAATTGTATCTTTTATAAACCTAATTTCCCTATTACGCATGGGATCTTAACACATTTATACAGACAAACTAAGATTTAAAAGATAAAAGTTCATTCATGTCTTCCCCAAAGGCATACTGATGATAGTTGAAGGGCCATGGCCTTTGCTGTGGTTCTCATTGGAAGGGGACTTTTGTTTTACTTGCAATACTATGAAAATTACTTGTTTATCATGTCTTTTAAAGTGGCAAATAATATATTTTCAAGGTAATGGAAATGTGTGGCACGGGTATGCTGACATCCTTGTTAAAAGATGTGTAGTCAAGATAGGAACAGAAGACAATAATGAGGATGGAAGTGGTGAACCACCAACAAAGAAAATGAAAACTGAAGGCAATGAAGATGATGACAGTTCAAGTTCAGATAAAGATGAAGGAAAAAAGGATGCATTTACTTGTAATGCCATGTCACAGATATTGTCACAAACAATTGTTAATGTATTTGCAGAAGTGAACAAGAATTCAGATTTATCCAGTTCCTTTTTACCATCTTTTATTGCGTCATCTAGAGCTATTAAAATAATTATGTATAACTGTGGATTAGATAGTCTGATAATGTCAGATAATTTAGGTATCTTCATACATGATGAAGAAGTCAACACCATCTTAAATGTTACAACTATTTTGAGTGTATGGTATGCCTTGAATTTTGAAAGTGATATTGATAAAAACAACAAACTCTTGCTTTACGAGTCAAATTTCAAGGAACAGGCAGGGAATAAGCTTGATATATATAACAAAGAGTGCACCAAACCTATGACAGAAGCAGCAAAAGATAATGATGTTGAATTTGTTATATCAGTGGAATATACTTCAGATTCTGTACTTCCTGTAATTGAAAGATATCGTTCATTATTAAATCATGACTCATAAAGCAAGTTTAGGGGACAGTTGGCAACACTAGAATTGTTGTCAAAATGTTTTTTTTACAGGTAAAGTTCTAATGTAGGTTATCCTGGATTAAAAACTAGGTCAGTAGATCAAATGATGGAAAACCTTGTAAACACTCAGGGATCAGAATTTCCATCTGATGTTGTTTGTTTATCAACAGTTTGTTAAAATAAAATTTGCTTTGAAATCAATGGCTGGATATTAACCAAACTACACTAGAAGGTTTATTTGGTGGTCCAGTGGGGTCAATATTGGCCTGATAGGTTTTTCTTATATAGTAAAAAACTTGAAAACATCATCTTATGGATCTACCAAGATTGATCACGTTTTGTCCCTGGGGTCAAAATTTGGTCTGCCCTGGGGGTCATGGGTTTTCCAAAACTTTTCCTTATAGATATTAAATTGTTCAAATGGTTCTGCTCCGTACTCATTTGAACACTTTTAACTTCCCAATTATTAAAACACAAATTGCTGGAAAACAAGTAAATTGCAAGGACTATATTTTAATTATTTAGCACGAAACATTGTCTCGTGGACCACCACAAAAGTTGGTGGTCATAGAACAATAGACTTTCTATAGTAACCGTTGACTCCCATAGTAACAAATGACTTCCCTTAACATCTATAATTTTACATAGCAAACATTTACCTTCAAAGCAACCAGTGACTTCCAGTAGCAACCCTTTTGACAACCAGTGACTTAACACAGCAATCTGTTACTTACATAGAAACCATTGACTTTCCATAGCAACCAAAAACTTCTTTAGCAACCAGTGATTTTACATAGCAACCAATATCTTTCCATTGAAAGCAGTGACTTGCATAAAAACCAAAGACTTCTTTAGCAACCAGTGACTTTACATAGCAACCATTGACTTTCCACAGCAACCATTGACTTTCCATCAAAACCAGTGACTTTCCTGAGCAACCATAGTTTTCCATAACTACTGACTTTCCATAGCAACCATAGACTTCAATAGCAACCAGTGACTTTTCATAACAGCATTTTCATAGCAACCATTTTTGTGTCGCCTCTACGGAGTAGTGGCGACATATAGGGATCACTTCTCCGTCGTCTGTCTGTCTGTCTGTCTGTCCGTCTGTCTGTCCGTCCGTCCGTCACAAAACTTTTCCGGACTACTCCTCATAAACTACTGGTGCAATTTCATCCAAACTTTACAGGAATGATTAGTACCAAGTCTAGTTGTGCATATTGTCAGCATTTTCCGGTTCAATGATTTTTGTCAGAGTTATGGCCCTTTAATAATTTTTATTTTTAAAGTTTGTCCGGACTACTTCTCTTATACCACTTATGCAATTTCAATGAAACTTTACAGGATTGATCTGTAGCTCAAGTCCTTGTGCACATTGCACGGGTTTTCAGGTTGAATGATTTTGGCCAAGTTATGGTCCTTTGATAAAAAGGTGTTTTTTTTCTGTGTTGCCAGATACACAAAAGCTTGTCCGGACTACTCCTCATAAACTACTGGTGCAATTTTATCCAAACTTTACAGGAATGATCAGTACCAAGTCTAGTTGTGCACTGTCCGTCTGTCTGTCCGTCTGTCACAAAATTTGTCCCAACATGAAATTGGCCATTATGAGGCGACACATGTGATTACTGATCGCTCTTGTCTTCCATAGCAACCAGTGTCTTCTATAGGAACCAGCGACCTTTAATTTCAACTATAGACTTCCATTGCAACCAATGATCTCATGCAGCAACTAGTGACACACATAGCAAACATTGACTTTCCATAGCAATCATACTTTTTAGCTCACCAGAGCCGAAGGCTCAGGGTGAGCTATTAGTATCAAAGGGGATGCTCCGGCGTCCATCGTCCATCATCATGCGTCAACAATCGTCTTCTTCTCTGAAACTACTAAGCAGACTTACTTCAAATTTGGTCTATAGCATCCTTGTGACAGTCACACTTGAATTTGCTCATGTCATTCCAATTGGCCCCTTTTAGGGGTCAGCAGAGCTAAAAATAGAAAAACCTTTAAACATCTTTTTCTACAGAACTAATGGATGGATGATCACCAAACTTTGTCAGTAGCAATCTTGGGTAGTCTTTTATCAAGATTGTTCATATTAAATTGATTGGCCCCTTTTAGGGGTCTCTAGGGCTAAAAATAGAAAAACTTTTAAACATCTTCTTCTACAGAACTAATGGATGGATGATCACCAAACTTTGTATGTATGCTTTCTTGGGTAGTCTTTTATCAAATTTGCTCATATGAATTTGATTGGCCCCTTTTAGGGGCCGCTAAAGCTAAAATAGAAAAACCTTTAAACGCCTATTTCTAGAGAACTAATTGATGAATGATCACCAAACTTTGTCTGTAGCATTCTTAGGTAGTCTTTTATCAAGTTTACTAATATTATTTTGATTGGCCCCTTTTAGGGGTCTCTAGTACTAAAAATAGAAAAACCTTTAAACATCACCTACAGAACTAATTGATGGATGATCACCAAACTTTGTCTGTAGCATTCTTGGGTAGTCTTTTATCAAGTTTGCTGATATTATTTTGATTGGCCGCTTTTAGGGGTCTCTAGGGCTAAAAATAGAAAATTTTAAACATCTTCTACAGAACTAATTGATGGATGATTACCAAACTTTGTCGTTAGCATTCTCGGGTAGTCTTTTATCAAGTTTGCTCATATTAATTTGATTGGCCCCTTTTAGGGGTCTCTATAGCTAAAAATAGAAATACATGTACCGTTAAATGTCTATTTCTAGACTACTAATTGATGGATTATCACCAAAATTTGTCTGTAGCATTCTTTGGTAGTCTTTTATCAAGTTTGCTCATATGAATTTGATTGGCCCCTTTTAGGGGCCGCTTAAGCTTTAAACAGAAATACCTTTTAAATGCCTATTTCGAGAGTACTAATTGATGGATGATCACCAAACTTTGTCTGAAGCATTGTTGGGTAGTCTTTTATCAAGTTTGCTCATATTATTTGATTGGCCCCTTTTAGGGGCCGCTAGAAATAAAAATAGATATACATTTAAACGTCTATTGCTACAGAACTAGTTGATGGATGATCACCAAAATTTGTCTGTAGCATTATTGGGTAGTCTTTTATTAAGTTTGCTCATATTAATTTTATTAGCCCCTTTTAGGGGCCGCTAAAATTAAAAATAGAAATACGTTTAAACATCTTCTCCTACAGAACTTATTAATGGATGATCACCAAACTTTGTCTGTAACATTTTTTGTTAATCTTTTATCAAGTTTACTCATATTAAATTGATTGGCCCCATTTAGGGGCCGCTAAAGCTAAAATAGAAAAACCTTTAAACATCTTCTACTTCAGAACCAATTGATGGATGATCACCAAACTTTGTAGCATTCTTGGGTACTCTTTTATCAAGTTTGCTTATATTAATTTGATTAGCCCCTTTTAGGGGCCACTAAAGCTTAAGATAGAAAAAAACCTTCGAACATCATTTCCTTCTGAAATAATTGATAGATGATCACCAAACTTTGTAGCATTCTTAGGTAGTCTTTTATCAAGTTTGCTCATATTAATTTGATTAGCACCGTTTAGGCTAAAGCTTAAATACCCCAGGTCATGGCATTTCTTCAAATTATTGTTTAAACATATTCTATGCTCAAATTTAATATTAGAATATATTGACATTCCAACACTGAAAAGCAGTTGTTTCTGGTGAGCGACTCGGGGCCCTCATGGTCCTGTTGTTTTAATAACCGGTGATTTTCTGTGGCAACCAGGGACTTTCCATAGCAACAATTTGCTATTCATAGCAACATTTGACTTCCACTGTAGCCACCAACTTTCCATAGCAAGCAATGACTCTGTATTAACCATTGACTTTTTATATCAACCATTCACTTCCATAGCAAACATTCACTACCCATAGCAAACATTCACTACCCATAGCAATAAGTAGTCCTCCCATAGCAACCATTGACTTTCCATAGCAACAGATGACTCCAATAGCAACTCTTTGCGTGAATAACATTGACTATAATAACAACAGTTACTTCTTAGCAGCCATTGACTTTCCATAGCAAACTGTTATTTTATCCATGATAGCAAACATGAACTTTCAAAAGCAACCAGTGAATCACTCTTTGAATATTATAGCAGCCACTAACTTTCAAAGAAACAATTGATTGTGTACTGCAACCAGTGACTTTTTAGCTCACCTGTCACAAAGTGACAGGGTGAGCTTTTGTGATCGCTTTTCGTCCGGCGTCCGTCCGTCCGTCGTCCGTAAACTTTTACTTTAAATGACATCTCCTCATAAACCGCTGAGCCAATTTCATCCAAACTTCACAGGAATGTTCCTTTGGTGGTCACCTTTAAAAAATGTTCAAAGAATTTAATTCCATGCAGAACTCTGGTTGCCATGGCAACCGATAGAAAAAAACTTAAAATATCTTCTTTTTAAAAACCCAAAGAGTTAGAGCTTAGATATTTTGCATGAAACATGTTCTAGTGAGTGTATATCAAGTTTGTTCAAATAAAAGTCCTGGGGTCAAAATTGACCCCGCTTCGGGGGTCATTGATTTTACCTATATGCATATAGTAAAAACTTAAAAAATCTTCTTCTATATGCATATAGTAAAAACTTAAAAAATCTCCTTTTAAAGAACCAAAAGAGCTAGAGCTAAGATATTTAGCATGAAACATTTTCTAATGGGTGTCTACCAAGTTTGTTCAAATAAAAGCCCAGGGGTCCAAATTGGCCCGGCCCCAGGGGGTCATTGATTTTCCCTATATGCATATAGTAAAAACTTATAAAATCTTCTTTTAAAGAGCCCAAAGAGCTAGAGCTAAGATATTTAGCATGAAACATTTTCTAATGAGTGTCTATCAATTTTGTTCAAATAAAAGCCCTGGGGTCAAAATTGGCCCCGCCTTAGGGGGTCATTGATTTTCCCTATATGCATATAGTAAAAACTTATAAAATCTTCTTTTAAAGAACGCAATGAGCTAGACCTTAGATGTTTAGCATGAAACATCTTCTTATGGGTGTTTACCAAGTTTGTTCAGATAAAAGCCCTGGGGTTTAAACTGGCCCCGCTCTGGGGGCCTTTATACAGGTGAGCGACTTCAGGGCCATTATAGCC